ATTATTATTATTATTATTATTATTATTATTATTATTATTATTAATATTATTAATATTTATTAAGGAAGTTTTCAACAGAGTAAAAACAATATGATTTTGAATTGAAAAGAAAAAATAGAGAAAAGTCATAAGAAAGTGAAAAAGAAATAAAGCAAAAGAAATAGAAAACAAAGAGAAAGAAGGAAAGAAAAAGTAATAAAGAAGTGGCTTCCAATCTTCTTAACAGCAGTTATAAGTACATTTATATTTTATCTCTCTTTCTAAAGTTACATCATAATTTCCTTTTTTTGATAATCTCTCCTTTCTAATCATCAAATCCATAAATCATCAATTTATTTTTTTTTCTTTTTTCAGCAAAAAATCCATAAGGGTTTCCAGTCACTAATAAATATAGTCATTAATCTTTCTCTAAGGAAACAAGTCAATTTTGCCATCTCTGCTAGTTCAGTCATCTTCACCAACTATTCCTCCATTGTGGGTATTTCAGAGTCCTTCCATTTTTGCCCATATAGTTGTCTTGCAGCGGTGATCATATATAAAAATAATCTTCCACAGCTGTTTTCTAGTTGTCTGTCCACTAGTCCCAGCAAAAAAAGTTCTGGTTTCAGTTGAATATCAGTCTTTAAAATGTTTGTATCATTCTATGTTTTTGATCTCAAAAAGTCCGCCAGGCATGATAAAATGACCCTTCATGTTGTCCGCATTTCCAACATACATTTGATGTACCTTTATACATTCTAGATGAGTTCTGAAGTCATAAACCAACGGTACATCATTTTATAAAAATTGTCTTTTAAAGTATAATCAATCCTTTCAACCACATTTTCCCACTATTCCAACAATATGTTATAACCAAAGTTCTTAGCCCATTTTATCATATACTCTTTTACTTGTTCTTCCTCTGTTTCAAATTTCATCAAGAGTTTATACATTTTAGCAATTACATGTTCATCATTTGTACATAATTCACTTTCAGATTCTGACTTCTGCTGCTCAGTTCCAAATGTACTATTGTCTACTTTAAATCTTTCTCTTAGCTGTGCATATGAAAACCATTGAAAACTAAATCCCTCTGCAGCCAGGTGCTCTCTTGGTTTCATCTTATATTCCCCATGCTCTTGTTCTAATATTTCCTGATAGATAAACCATTTTTCTTTACCTGGTGTTTCTTTCCTATAAAATCTTCTTGTGCTGAAACCCATAAAAGCATTTTTGGGTACAGTCTGGGTTTATATCTATTCCATATTCTCAATATGGCACTTCTAATACAGTGATTTTTTAAATCTACATTAACATAAAAAAACCTGAAATATTTCTTAAGAAACCTGACCAATGAGTATTTCAAGGAATTGTAATTCAGCAACAACTGAAGAGCCTCAATTTGTCCATCTTAATTAATATGTTAGTATGCTTTGTAAATCCAGCTAGTAGTGTCTGTGCCAAACAAACAATGGCTCAATAGAACTTTTGAACCAGGTCTATTATATGCTGATATAGGCTCTTATATAGGCACGTATAACACACGCGTACACATGCACACACACCCCTTGGCTTTTGCAGCAATTATTGTGCAGTAGTTTTCCACATAGATTAAAATATTTTATTCAAGTTATCGCCTACTGCTAGTTTGAATTCCAAATACATTCCATCTTAAAATGGAATGTATTTAATTCTAACTGTGTTTGGCATTATTCTATAGGAATTATTCTATAGGAATAATTTGCTGCTATGCTATAATAAAATGCTCTTTTCACAGAGGTCATGCATCCAAAAAGCCATCAAGCCAGACTTCTAATAATTTCTTGGCAGAAAGTCAGTCTTCTCATACTAAACTGGATGAATAACACAGAACCACCAGGTCCGTGGCCTGTGTAGCCTCAAAGCTTGAAGATGGTTATTGTTATTTACACTTTGACATTACTATAGATTAGTCTTGGAGGTTTTGTTTTTTTAATTGATTATATGATTGCTTTAGAACATGAACTCCTATCTAATCCAAGGGAAAGACCATATGCTGACCACAATTCAGCTGAATCTGGATATAGAAATCACACTTCTGGTAGAAGAGCATAGGAGCAACAATGTCCCCTGCCCCCCCAAAAATGCTATGATCAACTTCAATATAGATTCAAGTTAACCTGTTGCCTGGTCTTAACTTCCATCCTTCTCTATAAAATGTAAAGTAACTCTTCTTTCTTCTACTTTCTAAGGGGAAAAAAATCTAGCACCATACTTTTTCCTGTTTTTCCCATAATCCTTACTTTTTACTACTGGTGGAGCCATGAGCCTGGATATATAACAAGGTTGTTTTAAAATTGTATTTTGTCCTGAATCTATGGAGTGCAAGTACATAATTTTGAAATGTGTATTTTGTCAGTGCTTCTAAAAAGTATCTAAAGACATCTGTAAGGAATTAATAAAATGTTATAGGCCCTTCTTTTAATTAGGCTAAAACAAAATCACAGAACTTCCTTCAACCTAAACATCACAATCAGCCCTTGAATGGTGTGCCAAAAAACCTACACCAAAGAAGTAGGTAAAGCTAGCCTTAAAAAACTAGCTGAAGCTTATATAAAACTTAGTGCATGCAGTACTGATCAAATTAATTAATAGTATGTTTCAAAAGATTGATTTAGAGCAGTGTTTATCAGCTTCATAATTCTCTCTCACTGGCTGGAGAATTCCGGGAGTTGAGTCCACACATCTTAAAATTCCTGAGGTTGAGAAACACTGATTTAGAGAGGCAAATTTCTGAACTGAATCACCTTTCTGAAACAAATAAGAAAATTGAATAAAACCATAAGAGTGATATCTGGACAATTTTGAAGCTTCTGCTTTTGTGCAGAAATAGATTTTTCTGAATCAGATTTATCAACTCTGATGACGTGATTCATACATTTGAATTAAATCATATGTATTTTCCGATTTAATTTTTTTTCTTGAATTGATTTTTTGAATCGGATTTTGCTACAGTTATGCAGGTCAGTTAAATGTCTTAATTATGATTGCTTCCCATGTAGTTTATATTTTCTCTTTTGACCACAATAAGAATTACAATTGTTTAGCAAATACTTTAGGAGGAGGGATTATACCTAGTGCTTGAAGTGACCGCAAATTGTGCATTTTTCATTGGGATTGAAACACATACTGTATAGCTAAAATGAACTATAGGGACATTATATAAGTACACAGAACCACTCTTTTCTTTTTCTTCTTGTACCCTCTGTAGTCAGAGCTAAGATGGCAGCAAATGGACTACAAAACAAAAACATCCTATTTTATTCCATTGTTTTTTATAAGTTATGCCTAAACTTAGTTTATAGCTGACAGAATCTCCTGAATCAATGGGTTAACATGCTGCTTATTGTCAGTGTCTATATATGTAGTGATAAATCAGTTCAGGGAACAAAAGGGACATGCTTGTATTTGGCAGCAGGAACCACAATATAATCTCCAGCATTCAAAGCACTCCAGAACGTCAGCCAGTAGGTTATAAAATAGCAGGCAGTGTGTGTACTGTAAGGCACGCTCCTCCTATTATTTCAATAGTTATTATGGCTTCCTAGCAGATTCTGCAAAGATAAGGGAGTATATTCTACTGTGATATGAGCTATGTCGTTGCTCATTCTGTTAAAACATCTTATTGTCTAAGAAAATAACAGAGAATGAAGGGAGGTGCCTCCCTGTGCAGTTCAAACCGTGTATTCCCTGATAATAGAATCTAGGCAGAACACAGGCTGATAGTTAGAAACTTCTTCCATCTTAGCAATTTTTTACATTCTGATTTCAGGTGATGTGTCTTTTTCAGAAGCACTCCTGGGGTTTCCAGTTCCAGCATCTGTGAACATATGCACAACTCCCCTCCCAACAGTAGAGTATAAACTCATGCTTTCTAGCCTCCACTTTTCATTCATAATACACCTTTATCTGTGCTGGACATGCCATGGGAAGATAAGAACTGTAGTACCAAACCTTTGGAGGGCATCAGCTTGAGAAAGACTGTCAAATTCAGTAGGAAATTAAAGAAATAATATTCACTATTCATAATAATGACCAGATCTGGTTATACAGTCCTCCACTTCAGCTTTCTTCAACCTGATACCCTTCAGAAATGACCATGACTCTCAAAATTCCCAGCCAGTGTGGTGGATAGAGAATTATGAGTTGTAATCTCCAATCATCTGGAGGGCATCCGTTTGGAAAAATCTGTTTGGATTGCTTTCCCACTTCCAGGAGAAGTGAGAATGTGTGCAGGCACAGCAAATGCAGCTAAACACCTTTGCTCCTAACCACTGATTTCACCTATCACTTAGAATCAGCTCTTGCAACAGTTACTGCCACCATACGTGTTGAATTACAATTTGCCAATGGTTGTATTAGCTGGGGATAATGGGAGCTTTTGTCCAGAACTCACATTTGGAGAGCATCAGGCTGGGGAAAGCAAAATTGGAGAGCAAGGAATACAACAGCTTCTGCATCAGTGTATGAAGCAACATGCTATGGTAATTTTGTTCATTTATATTTAAAACACAGAGAGTGAATAAGTTGATCTAGACTTCACATACTGCACTAAACTATGATTTGTTTAATTTTGTTCTAAGCCAGCGATATGCAACCAGAGTTCCTAACACAAAATATGGTACCCAAAAGTCTTGGGTGTACTTCCCAAGTACTTCCAAAAGTTGTCACTTGTAATTTCTAATGTGGGAGCAGGGGAAAATTGATTATATAGTTGGACAGTAATCATATTAACAGTTTTTAATTTCTATTAAGTTTAAATTAAAATGTATGAAATCAAATTTTGTTTTTGTTTTAGCCCTCTATTTTTGTGACCCTCAGTTTGGAACAAGGAGCGCCTGATTTAAGTCGCATACCACAGGTTACAAACCTCATAACACATTAATCCAAAATGAAGCAACCATGTTATGGTTTGGCACAATTTGTGAACCTAGCCATTGTGAGATTCTTTAAGTCAGTGTTGCCCAAACTTGGCCACTTTAAGATGAGTGGACTTCAACTTCCAGCAAAGAGGGAAAAGATGAGTAAAGGACAAGGATTAGGAACCCATTACAGGAACTATGCATTTCAGGGTCACAAAAAGAAAACTGGTCACTTGTATGTGTACAGTACATGCAATATTAGTTCAGGGTGGATTCCTGTGTCATTACACAATCCCCCCCTTCAGCAGTCTGCTGAAGGGCTTCCTACGCACTGATTTCCACAGGAAGATGCAATGAAGAAACACCTCTCATTTTCAGTAGCTATGCCACCGTCACTACTAATGGAAAGTCTTGCTTCTGAGAAATCGTGGGAGATATTTCTGCTCACAGTTGCTCTGAGCAGAGATTTGGAAGAGAACGTAGACCTGCTATAATTTTAAGCATCGGTAATTAAGAGGGGCTGGCAGTTTCTATCATTGAGTTCTCTAAGTAGATGAACTGAATTTCAAAAGTATCTAATGCTGCATTCATAGACTATCAAAAATTGTGGTTTGCATTTGGAACAATTAGCACATATAGATACCCAACAGGGTAAATAGCACAGGACGTAAAGCAGGTTTAATATAGTTAATTGGAAGAAGAAGATCCATCTCCCCCACACACAGCCCTCCCAGCATAATAATAATAACAACAACTGATTATGTGCCATCAAGTCATAGTCAACTCTTAGCGACCACATAGATTTTTAATAATAATAATAATAATAATTATTATTATTATTTAGAAACAAACAGAAACAAGGTAGAAAAACCATACAGTGCATGGCTTCTGGAATACTTTCCAACCCCTTTACATGTTCTTCTCTGTGTCAGAATAAAGCATTAGCATGTACGCCTGTGTCCCTGCTCTCCCCTTGTGTTGCATCTGTGCCCAGGGAAGCACAGGGCAACTTGCATATTCTCTGCTCCGGGTCAAGTGATCAGAAGGGAGAGGGTTCAGAATTAAACAGCCTGCAGCATTCTAAGCTGCTGTCCAGCTACCTCTCCCAGAGGGTTGCACTGGGGGAAGTTGGAAGGATCTTTTTTCTCCACAACTCCCAGCCTGATTCAGACCAGTTTTGGACTTGATACTTCTTTCGCTGGCTTGTCTCCCACACTGACTATGATCCTGTTTGTTCAGTTTTCAGAGGTTAATCTTGCTGATGGACTGATACACGGATGGGCAGAGGCTTGACCCCCTTTACATAAGTTATTTCCTTCTGTACATTTGGAAATAATAAAAAGGAAAATCCCAGACATATTTGTGGTGTGGTCCCATGACACTGCCTCATTGCCTCTCCCTTCCCACAGGACCATTAAGTGCAGCCCTTGACCACTAAAATATCTACTATATTTTATTTTATTTATTGCCAATTCTTTCTACTACAAATAATAGTCATTTGGGTTTATCTGGCATGGCTCTAAAGGCACAGATATATCCCATTTAGAAAACTGCCTTTCACATAAAAAATATTTATGTTGCAAATTCAGAGGCAAAGTTGCCATTATGTATGTGATGTGCTTGCTAATAAAAGGAGAACCACTTCTTACTAAATACTCAGAATAATCCATATTTGTCAACAGGAAATTCAAAGCAGGGGGATTTTGCTTGGAAAGTCCCATGGGCTTTTGCACCATGATGAATAATGAAATTTGGGGGTGGTGGGACATGAAATAGTCAAATTTTTAAACCAATATTTTACTGTACTAAAAGACCAAAAAGTTATCAGAAATCTTCTGTGTCATAATTAGATGGTTTACTGACCTCTGCAATATCATCGTCCATGCCAAATGCAAATCATTCCCAACATATTTTAACCGCAGCCCCCAAGGCCTTCTCATCATCCGTGGTCCAAATGTGTTCATGGGTTTGTAGCTGAGGAGCACCTTTAGTCAACCATCGCTCTGTCCATGCTAGTCAACAGCTGAGCGGTAGGCCAATTAGTGCACTGTTTCTCTGCTTGAAATCAATCAGTCACTAAGTTGACATCTGCCCCTACCCAGAGCTTCCAATTTTTTATGAAGCAAGGCAAAAAGATTTTCAGTTTACCTGGTACTGTTCTATCAAGCTATATTAATTGCATTATCCCAGCAAACCCAGGGTCCGGCAAAAAAACATTAAAAAACTTGTGTTTGGGGACTTCTCTCTAAGCTGGGTTGCATGAAATGGAGCTGTAAGAAGGAAGAAAATATCCACAAGCACAAGATACCCTCACTCAAGTGCAGTTTTCATAAACAGCAGAAGTATCAGTGTGTGCAACAGAAGAGGCATATTCTACAACTGCTTGATGTTTTCTGTTCATAAAATGTTATAAAACATATAAATGATATTAATCATTTATTACCTCTAGAATAAATAAGTACTAAAGAAGAAAATAAAGAGGGAAATAATGCATGAATTTCATTTCAGATGCCAGGAGGAACTATCATTCCTGATGGGAAAACAGTCATCTGGGATAACACTAAAGGCTTCATAATTCCAAAAGCAACATACAAATTCATAGGGCTTCTTAGCTGCGAAACTACTATTGATGGTCATGAATATAGCACCAAATACCTGACATATAGGCTAAGTAAGTATTTTTCTATTCACCTCAGTCTTTCTTTCTATCTGTTTAACTAATCAACCATCCAGTTCATTTTGCTTTCTTGCATTACATAGACAATGAAATCATTAGTGTCCAGGTGAATGATTCAAAACCAGTGAAGTTATTCAAAGGACAAAGTCTTGTTCTCAACTGTAGTATCACTGCAGCCTGGAACACCAGAGTGCAAATTACATGGACTTATCCTGGTGAGGTGTGTGCTCTTTTCTTTTCTTTTTAAAACACTAATTAGAAGCAGACCTAATAAGAATTTTATGTAGATAAGTTTACTTATTTGATTGTCCCTTTGCTGATTTTTGTTATTTGATTCATTTTCTTTTCCAACTCATTGCATCATTGAATGAGCAAGACTTTACCTAATGTAGTTGCATAAATTCACTGTGGATATTTCATAATAACAAATTTATTTTTAAAAGTTTCAAACTTGGAAATTTCTTAGGTGCCATGATTAGTAATACTTATTACACAATGTCAAAGGGTTTTATTTTATAATAGACTTCCTCAAAGTGGGCTTCCAACTCAGTTTCAGGAAGATACTAGTTCATTTGTTCAAGATTTCAGTTGTTCCCTGAGCAAATTATTTCTACAATGCCAAAAATATGGTTACCAATCTTTTCTTCACCACATTTTTAGCATGTTCAGCCTTGTACAAATATCTGCCATATATCCAAGAAAATCTTGTCACTGCTATTGGTTCTTAATAAGGTTGATGTACTGTATGTATGGGATAACTCAAACTTAGTATCTTAAGTAAGTATCTTAAATATCTTAAGTAAATATCTTAAGTATCTTACTTAAGATTACATTGCAAAAGGTCCACTAATAATAATTTCCCTTTTGTTGATAGAAGAACTTCCACCTTCCATCTACATACATACAGAAGGCCAATGGATGTGATATTGCTACCAGATCTCCTCCCATTTTTCTTGGTTCTACCCATTTTTGAGTGTACCACACAAGTCTGAATGCAGACTTCAGTCCAAAATAATTTCCCTGCTTACATGCTGAAGGATGATTAATAATTTTTAGCATAGACATTTGTGTCATACTATGGATATTGATAGTGATACATATAGTAATAAAAAGCATTTCTATACTGCTTCTGATTATAGAAAAAACTGCTCTATGAACCCTGTAAAATCATTCTAAAATAGCAGGTTCTGCACTGAGTGGATGTTGAACTAGATGATCTTCAGTTCTTAGATACCTTCCAATTCAATGTTTTTATCATTGTATGTCTAAGAACTACATAAAAACAGCATGAAAATGGAGTTAAAGTTTAACCCAAACCATGCATTAAAATAGAACTATTAGGGAGGAATTAGGAGCTGGGGAAAGCCAGTGTGAAGTGGTGGGTTTTTAAAATATCTAAAGGAATAAAGCCAATGAAATAGGTGCAGAGATTTTGGAGTCAGGCTCATTTAAATTATGTAAATGTTCCTGTAACTCACTTGATTTTTATCAGAATTAGAAGTCACAATGCCCCTCCTATAAAGATAAATCTGCTGAATTTCCATCCAACAGCATATGTATTTTATCTAAATACAGCCAATTGGCCCCAGACAAGACCCAAAAACTCAATTAATTCCTTTATGTCTTGGCTATGAAAACGGCAGATACCGTAGAATTATAATTTTTCAAGCATGCAGAAGAGTATTAACCATTTCACAAATAGTGGGAATGGGAATAAAGTAATTCATAAGTCTCAACTCATGTGACATTTTTGTCCATGTAGATTTGTGTGCCCTTTTGAAGAATTACCTTTCAAGATCAATTAGTGGACAGTTTCCAAATCCAATTAAGCAATCTTTGTCTGGACAGCAAATTATCTCTAATCTGGAGCTGCATGTTAAATTGTGACCACTGTTTAAATTCCAACTAAAAATTGCTGATAGTAATAAATCCTGTGTTATTTTTTTCTCCTGTCTAGGCAAGCAAAAGAGGCACCATTAGTAGAAGCATTGTACAAAGAAAAGATGGACCCAACCTATTCTATAGCATCCTTGTTGTCGATAAAGTCCATGATATAGATAAAGGCCAATACATTTGCAATGTTAAGAGTGGGCCATCGCTTAAATCAGATAACATAACAGTTCTTATTTATGGTAAGACATAGTTTGTGTGCCTCAAATGTCAGCTACTCATACTCCAAAGGCAAGGATTGGGGTCTAGAGGTTAGATGAGGCCATCGTTATGTTGTGCTTTTTCCAATTTGAGTCGGTTTGTCATGTGCACTCAGAGTCATAACTGTATAAACTGATTAAATAAATAAGGATATAGCTATGTGTGACATGCCAATGCTAGAACATTTTTTGCTTCTGGCTTAAAAGCAGCTGCTTGAGGCACTGGAGAGTTTCTTCTTCATGCCACTGCCTCAGTATTTTAAATGTAGCTTTCATTTCAAGTCCACAGGGCAATGAATTTCATATGTTCTTATTATAAGTATACTGTACTTATTAATAACTATGCTCAGGCTACTTACTAATGTGTTTTATGGTTTGCATTGTTTTTATGTTGCAAGCGATATTGGAATTCTTCAGGAGAACCCTGATTTTATTGGTTGATTAGTGAGGGCATCTTGAAGAGGGCTTATTATATTGCTCTTTGCATCCAAAAGTATTCCTAGTGATTTTGGCAGTCCCTCAGATAGTCTTTCATGTATAAATTATATTGCTTATATCATACTTTGTATTCACCAGTATCATTATCTTTAAAACATGATTTTTCTTTCTTTTTTTCTTTTCTTTAAAGATAAAGCATTTATCACTTTACAGCATCGACAAAAAAACATGCTGGATGTTATGTCTGGCAAGAAGTCCTATCGACTTTCTATGAAAGTGAAAGCGTTTCCTACACCAGAGGTTATATGGTAGGATTACAGTTACTTCTGCATAGAGAAAGAAACCACTTATTTGACAAGATAACCTATTTCCCCAGGATTAAATAGGTCACCTCCAAGTAAAAATATATTGAATAAAGATGTCCTGAAATGGACTTGGAATATCTGGTTCAATGTCCACTATTTAAGAATTTGTGAGATGGCTGTATTAATTTCATTGTGATTTTTGTCTTGTAGTAAAAGGAATTCAGCATATTTTATCAGAAAGAATACTGTAGCATTCTGTCACATATTTAATATTCAAGGAGGAAATGTCAAATCATTAATTTTTAATAGAGCCATTTTCAAATTAGATTTATAGCTTTCTCTTGTGTTTAAAATCTTCACGAAAATAAAATATTGTTGGAAGATTTACAAGAAATCAAACAAGAGCTTGTTGAAATAGTGCCTATGTTTTTTTCAGAGTGATTTATGCATTAGACAGGGGTGCACAATATTTACTGAGTCAAGAACTACACTAATGTTGAATAGTATGTTGGAAGCCATATTGCAAACAAGCTTGGAACTATATAAACATATTTTTAAAGTATGTGTGTGGTGGGAGAGGATATGGAGAAAGTGTGACAAATTAATATTAACATTATTCCTTTTAATTAATCTATCACATTTTAACATAAACACATATGGTGATCCCGATCCTCTCATAGTTTAAAATAAATTTAGAAGTATGTAAACCCTCAGATCATTATTTCCTACACATACAACACACACAGAGTTTTGTATAGAAGAAATGGGATAGCAGTGGTATGTGGGTTTGTTGTTGATATGCAACAGACTCAGGAAATATGAAGGGGACATGCCTGATTCCATGATGAGCTACATGCAATCCCAAGGCCACAGGATGAATCTATGCATTCAAATAAGAATGTCATTCTGGAACAACGTGTCACTTTCCGGGCATCTACAGCAAAGAGCTCTTATTAGGCTAAATTGGAGACGATCAAAGGATCTAGTTTCTATTGGTGGCCACCAAATATCTATACATAGACCATGCAGGGGACCTAATGGCAGTCACCTTGTCTGTTGTTGTTCTCAAGCAACTGACAGTCAACATAAAGCCCTCTTATTTTCCTCCCTCCCAATTCCACAGACATATGAAAATTTATAAATGTAACATAGGAATCAGTTCTAACTTTTGTCACTGGCATTTTCATTTTGACACCTTCTTTCTTCATAATAAGATGTGAACGTTTAAAAAGATATGTTTAGGAAGGATAGGAAGTTATTTTAACTGGTGCCTAATTTTGTGATGCTTATTAAATTATATAAATTATATTTGTAGTGATTGAAATGATAAATACTTGTGGGCTTTGGTTCAAATTCATTCATTAGCAAGATAAAAAGGAAATCACTTACTTATGATATAATGGGAACTTCCTCTCTCTGTCAGTGAGAGAATTGGCCCATGTGCCTTTCTCCTGTACAGTGACAGCCCCATAATAGCATACTTAATGAATCATTTAAGAATGCCCATGACATATTCCTTCAGCATATATTTAGGTTCATGGTTAGAAGTGCCCATGTTTTCCATTTGGATATAATATAGTCCTTTATCAGCCTGACATTTTGGACAACAATTCTCACCATCCTGGCTGACTTGAGATAACAGGATAATAGTAGCCCCGCCAAATTACCAAGGTGGGAAAGTTTCAGGTCAGAACTCTCAGAATGTCTGTTTGTTGATTACCCCGCCCGCCCTGCAGCCCCCCCCCCCGCTCAACATAGCTACATCTACAC